GAGAGCAGTTGAACCCGTGGTGTTGGAAACGTTGAATACATTTGGAGATAACAGAATCGTTACTTCAAGGTATACTTGGTGGAATTTCATCGCTCTGAATTTATTCGAGCAACTTCATCTTGTGGGAAACTTTATATTCCTATGTTTTTCTTTCTTGTTTATATTCGAACCAAAGGCTACAAACGCGGTTGCATTTGTCGCCCTCTTCGTTATTTCTCTGTTTATCTCCCTCATTAAAGAAGCTGTTTATGATATTTTCCGACACATTCAAGACAAACGCCTTAATAACCAACGCTTTAGTGTTTTGGATTTTGATTTAGAGTTCAGCAAACTTGTATGGACCAGGAGTATATCTTCGCGTTTGCGTGCCGGCCACGTGCTTCGATGTGTTGCCAATCAAGAGATTCCTTGTGATATGGTTCTGCTTGCTTCAAGTGAACCTAACAGAGAAGTTCGCCTGACAACAAACAATCTAGACGGTGAAACTTCAGTGAAAACGCACTTTGCCTTATCAAAGACTCATGAGGTCTACAGGAAAATTTTATCAATGTTCCCTGAGGATGTGGAAATAAGAGACGTAACCCAGTTCAAGCCAGTAATCGTAAGCGTCGCTTATGAGGCCCCGAATGCTGATTTGAATCGTTTTGAAGGAAATCTGATCATGGTGGACTCAACTGAGGGGGAAAGTTCCATTCCAATACTCATGGAAAACATTGTTTTTCGTGGCTCAAGAATATATAATACCAGTAGTGCTATTGGCCTAGTAGTCTATACCGGAAAGGATACAAAGTTATCTATGAATTCAAGGAAGAATGCTCGGAAGTATGGTTCACGGGAGGGAAAGCTGAGTTTTTTACTGGCCTTGTGCTTCGCAGCATATTTGTTTATTTGCGTTTTGTTGACAATTCTATCCACTGTTTGGGACACAAATCAGACAATTCCCATGTGGTTTTCAGTACTGAAGCCTCCTACAAGGTATGCGTACGTAAAAACTGCCGTATCGTTTTCTTTCATAGCCATTTACTTGCTTGGAGTGATTCTTCAAGTTACAGTTGACTTGCAATTGGTTGTGAACTCATACCTAATAACACATGATCCATATTTGTTTGATACACAAAAAGGTATCGGAAGTTCGGCAAACACAGTCGACATAACTGACGAACTTGGCCAAGTCGAATTCCTCTTCAGTGATAAAACCGGGACTCTGACGCTAAATGAACTGAATTTAAGAGCATGTAGTATTTTCTTGGATAACAGTGTATTTTGGATTAATGACAGGAAAATTTATCAGGGAAGAAAACGGACAGTACATTCAGATGAAGAGTGTGCACAACAAACAATATTTGGAAATGCAGTCTTTCCTAATGTAGTAGAGCTAAACGACGGACTTCCAAAAACCCTAGGAGAATTTTTAACGGTTGTGCTTCTCTGCCACACAGTGGAAATTCGGAACCACAGCTCTCCGGTTTCGGGAAAGAATCCAACATACATGGTAAGCAATTTGGATGCACCAATTTTGACAAGTAATGGATACAGTGGCAATCATGCTTGTGATTGTGATCGCCAAATGATGTCAGAGCGATCCCCGTTTTTCCCTGCTATTTATTCATTATGCTAAATCCACCAGTAACACAATCATTGTTTTTGCATCTGAACAGTTGACTGCACAGGCCAGCCGGTTAAAATTGTTCTCCCCGAATTATTATTGGGTCATAATGTAGGATGCAAATAATGTGGACGGGCTTGACCTTTGGAAGTGGAAAGGTACTAAAGTAAAACACCACTCCCGAAGTTGTATACAGGGTAGAATGTGCAAAATTATAGCCATTGAGTAATAGACGAAATCATTTAGACAATCAATGCGTGCTTTCATTTTCTCTGTTACTAAGGCTTTGCATTCGCTGATGATGGTGGTAACAAAATCGAACCACAGAACTTCAGTGACGGCCTCGTGTAATAAACCTACAAAGCGATATATAAACATAGCGCGACCAGAAGTTCGAAAAGAGTGATTGGACGTCTTTTTTATTTGATTTAGGATTATCCTTTGTTAAGAAATTGTATAAGAACACGCCTCCATTTGGAGTCTTAAGCCGCTTTGATTCAGTGAAAGTGTAGTCAATGAGCATAGTTACGTTTGGTGATGTTCGAACATTTTTGTGTGATGTAGAGATGCAGTGGGCATACCCCTTACGTTAACTAAATTCTGTTTGTGCATGTGATTCGACTAGTTTATTGAAGTCAGGATTCTGTGTTACTGAAACTAGTAGCCGTAATACCACCAGTACAAGTCTTGTGGTCTTATGGTTACAGCAGTCGCGTTTCAAATGAATGCATGTGTTTTGGCTAATTGACTTCAATTGCCCATAAAGTGTTGTTGTTTCGGGTTAAATCAAGTCTACCTAAGGTGAAACACAAAAACCTTCTGCCTTCTTCAAGGGAAAATGATAGAGGTCTGTTCTTCCTGACAGAATTGTAGGACAATATGGCAGAAGTGCAAGTCAGTGATCCAGCAACCGGGGAACAGATACTAGGAGCAGACAAACTGTGGCCTGGATTGCATGGGGTAAATTAGCGGCATAAGTGTTCAAAACTTTGGCTTTCCCTATTGGTGATGAACGTATCAACCCAGATTTCTTGGGTCGTATTTCCAACAGGCGCTAAATTTTTAAGATGATCTGTGGTGAGCTCATCAACTGGCGACATACTGGGTCTTTACTGGTGTGTGGTAATTCCTGGTGTCGTGGCCTCATGTATTGATCAATACCTCTGCTTCCATTAGGTCTTGCTCCCGGCTTCTGTTGAATTGCTGCCTAACTTACCACTAGAAGAATCCATTTCAGATCGCGATGAGATAAAACATATTTTGTCAGGGTGCTGTGGCTAACGAGTTACCACTGGGCACACCACATGCCAAGTTTCTGACTTTGGATATAATTTTTTTATCTGCCGCCGTTTACGACTGGTGTCTTCTCAGGAGCCTTTTTGGAACTTCAGAGGTTTTTTGATATGTTCATTTTGTTTAGGACTAAATGGACTTCTCGGCCGTTAAGCCTGGTGATTATTATTAAAATTACTCTGGACAGCTTATTGCAGTATGTCCAGAAAAGGGACAACTTAAACCAAAGTTTGTCCTAGAATGGCCAGTGGTTAAAAACCGAGATTTTGCTAAGACTTTGTGGGTGGCATCCAGTACAGCTTAAAAAGTACAGCTCAAAGTAGAAACAATCACACAAATGACCCTCAGCCCGTCCTCGAAGGTCCTGATGATGCATGCGCAGAACCAATGATGGGTTCGTAATATGTATAATACAATTTGTTATCAGTGTATTTTGGGTACCGTTTAATCGCCAAAGACCCCAAACTGATGTGTCATGTTCGCGAGAGATTCATAGAGCAAGACTGATCAGAATTTTGGCTGATCAATGCATACTGCAACGAATCAATCACAAATCGTACACAGAAGAGCGATTTCAGCCAAGATCAATACACTGTATATGAGAATTTTCAATTGACATTGGTAGATTTCAGATTTCCAGTTGCGTGGACACTACGGCTTCCCCAAAAATGCTTGCATTAACCCAAAAGCTATTGATTGCTACTTACATAGAAAAGCAAGAAGTTGATACACTGAGGAGAAAACAGCTGTGTAGCACAGACAGACATCCATCAGAAGGCCTGAACAAGTGTTTTGAGATCTATGTTTTGCAACCTCCGGCAATTGTTTCATAAATTTTTTATTTTTGTAGTGCAAATGCAGAGAGAAGAGTAGATCCAACAGCTCAGTTACTCGTTCAATTCTGTGGCCTGCAATTTGCTCGATCTAGTGTTAAAGATTTTTCCGCTAAATTATCTGGACTTTGAAGTGCCAAATTCTTAGTCATGGTAGGTTTTCATAGATCAAACGGATGGTAATCTTCTTAAATTTTAAATAAGGCACGCTTACCTTTTACCGTTTATCGTCACAAACATAGATCCGGGTAATAGAAGTAGATGGATGTGCACGAGAATATTAGGTAATACGAGGAAATCGTTCCATTCGAATGCATGCCATCAATTGTCCCAGTCAGACAAGATGGGTTCCAACGTATGTATGCATATTTGGTATGGAAACACACATGTAATGACCAGCAACTGAAGAAAGGACAAGCAATGCTGGATGTTCCTCAAGGCGCAGTACAACGTAGCACAGTAAAGACTCGTACACCAGACACAAAGTGTCCGTCATACTATGCCCCGTGTCAAAGCCAGTGGCAAAACTGAACACACTTAGCTTAAAATGTCGTAAGTACGCATAGAACCCAAAGTGCCGAGTAAAGAGAAGTCACTGATTATGGCCTTAGGAAGTCTCAGTCTAACAACGGCCTTGGCGGGTTGAGGAAATCGATGAGAAAGGATCATCGGTTGTTGGACCAAAAAGTCGACATCACACGTAGAGCTAAGGTGATGGCGTGGAACAATCATCAGCACTGTGCTTCTGCTTTATAGCATTCCACACAATCAGTCCGCGCCCGTTTGAGACTATGCTCACGTTTATCACAGTTAATTGACGCTCTCGAACTGCAAATAGGTAAGGCTTGAAATAAGACGCCAAAGTAGGTACTCGCAACTCCTCGAAGACGGATGTCTGGGACCTTTCGTGAGTTCCCTTGCAATCCGATTATGAAGAGCATATCTGGCATCATGCGTGATACAGCAGGTTTGCACAATTAACACCAAACGTTCCGGTTGGCCACAGTTTCCTCAACCGATCGTTCAGCCACTCTCGTCCAAAAGTGGTTGCACCGGAACTGAATATTTTGGATGCATATCCGAAGAAATAAAAGTGCTGAAATCACAGACCATCTGAACGAGAGTGATAACGCGACTATTTCTCTTAAACCGACCGTCATAGCTCTTGTACAGACTATCGCCCTAAGCAGCCAGTAGCTCTTGCTTGGTGTTAACGTATGAATTTCGGACTCAAGTAGGAAGACTGAGATCCACATAAACCTTGCTGAATGCGGAATAATGTGCCATATTGCATGGTACTCGGCGCTGGGTGGAGAGGTTTTTTTCCATACGTGCTCTTTGCTACATTGAAAGGGTTTTATTCTGACGTACGATACCGATTCCAGTATGCTGGTTACCGGCGTGGATGTAGCTGGTCAGTGTCTTTCTTGGTAGATATAGCCATCCACGAATATACTGTCTGAGCTAATTGTCAACCTTCTGAGCGTGTTTTAGTGGATCTGACTGGGCAAAGCAAATATGTCAGCCTCGGTGCCAAGTATTTCCTTTTGATCTTAATCCTTTGGTGCCGGTTCAACAAGGTACGCGTTACCTCATACAGCAGATTCAGCAGCTGTTGTCGGTGGTTAGAGACTCTTTTCCACTTGAAAATAGGGGCCAGAGAAACGACGAGTTCCTAGGCTTAGCAAAAATGTCTGCTGGGAACGTTGTCGCCCTGCTATTTTGTGTCCAAAAATCATCATTGTTTTCTCTTTTGAACGTTGATTGCAATACCAGCTTTATCACTTGAACAAAACTGCCTCAATAATCTCTCTAGGTGACGACTTGTTCATTTAGCCAATCATACAGCCAACTCGACCAAACTCCAGTCAGATTGTAGCACCGCCATACCTGGCCGGGTATCCACGTGTTTTGGAGCACGAAGCACCTTTCTCCATTACTGCTCGGCCTCAAGAGGTATGTGGCCGTTACCTTTGCACAGGACTTTCCACGACCCTTAGAGAACAGCAGACACCGCCTCTTCCCGCCTTTGGTATTATAGGGTCTGGATAGTGGCGTAGTTGGCTCGGCGGATCTGATTATTGTTGGCTGACGCACAAAGGACTATCTGAAGACGGCGTTAGGAGGCAGCATTTCACGCTTAAGGAAATGCATCGAGGACGTCGAGGTCCAGAGTTGACAGGACTCGCTCTGGCGTCATGATGTTAGATTCCAACCCTCGCGGAAATGCCAGAAGGTTAACACTAGTGACCGGACTGGCAAAATGGAATTCCACGAGTGAGACTGCACAATGTACGGTTTGTTGTTGTAAACTGTTGAAAGTAACCAGGACATTGAAAGCGAACGGGGTGGTTAGCCCTGTTTGGGAGTTGTTAGGCCCTCAGCTCACCCAGACTGACGTGCCAGCTACTCAGTTGACACAATGAGAAGGTTATTTAGCGCGCTACTGCTTTTGCTACATTTGTTTCTAAAATCCACGTTTGACTCACGTTCACCATTTGTAGATGCTTCAGTCTGTTTTACGAAATCTCATATGCAATACAACCATAGTGGAATTCGATTCAGAGACAGCCTTCATTAGATACCACTACTTAGTCATTCAGCTTCAGTTTGTTTTCACATTCCTAGGAAAACCATAGTTCACCTCATTTAGTGTTCAGCTGGACAAAGAATTGTTTTCCAAAAAAAACACCTTTCTCTACTACCGACTCGGCATGGTACCGAAAGGTGGTCTAACGTGCAACACGGTTTATTCATTTTGGGGCCAAAGTTCTAGAAGTTCCTATATTTGGTCAAACCAGAAGTTAAATGTGTATTGTTAGCAACTTTCTGGACTGCTACTCCTAGGCTAAAAGTGGCCATAACCAGAAAGACCTTTGGTTTTCCAAAAATACTCATTGTCGTTAAGTACGAAAGACATGGGTTACAACGGCAAGTGCATGAACTGGAATGGTACTTATTCTCTATCCTCATTATCACCGAGATTTTTAGCACTACCGCAATCCTTGGGTTGGCCACGCGGAACGACATCACTACAGAAACATGAGCTGAGAATAGCGGAGAAGACGCTACTGATTTAGGATACATAGAATAGAATTAGAGAGCGGGGATATAAAAGGAAGTTTGATTACACTGGGATTGCAGACTCGCTATGGAATGTGGCATGTTACACTTAAATATCTCCAGCCATTTGCTTTTCAACCAAGGAGACGATAGTTTCTAGCCTTGCTAATTCCAGCAGTCAGTGTTTTTGGCTCACAACTATACCTCCAGTTTAGCATAGCGCGTCCGTATTCAATCTTGTCAAATGTTCTCAGAATACACTGTGTGCAGTAGTAGCTTTTTGAAATTCAACGAGTTCGCGCACACTGAATCCGGCATGTGAAGTTGGTCACGGTCAAAATGCGAATCTATCGAAGCATGGGTGTTGACTGGCCGCATATGCACTGGAAACGACCGTTGATCAACTGTGTGACGTCTTTTGTCAAGCCGAAAGCAATGGGTAAAGGGCAGAATTGCTTAGTTCCTGGAAATAACTTGAAACAAATGTCTGCACATTGGTTGTAGCCAACGGTAATATAACGTGTCATACAATAGTGACCACTGAGCAAAGTGCCAGTACGATCTTACTGATGGTGATGATTATTTTTGGCAAGACAGATTGAGACCATGCTTCATGGAAAAGCCAATGGTTTTCCTGACTATTGACCGGCAAAACCGGCGAAAAGTTATCCCAGTCTACTTAGTGTGATTCCGACATACTTTTAAGTTTAAACCGGGCCTTTGTTACTGAATGTTCGACCTCTGGAGAGGATAATATCATCAGTCTCAAAAAGCCTCAGAACATAATTTCTTCAACCACTTGTGAATACTATGGAGCAGGTTGAGATTTACCTCTTTATTTTGAGTGCGGGTTGGGTGGTTGCCACCCGGCCTTTCTCTTCATCCCATGCCAACGGCATTTTATTTCTGAGCCAGTTTGGTTTTCGAGACAACAGAGATAATCCACCGTATAGCTCAGTCTATAAACGTTGTTATCCCACACCAGTACAAAAATTCATTACCGCTTGCCCTACAGTTCACCCGGAAGACAGCATCACCATACCGTTCCAAGAGTCTGTGTGTCTGATCTGCTCGTTTGGTGAGATGGCTCAGTGGTTAGAATACGAATTTATTAACCGGAAGGTCCATGGCTCGAAACCGACCCGTGCCTCTCGACTTCCTCTGTCTGGGCTTGGGCAACCTGCCAGTATCCCTGATACTTTTTTCGGGTGGCATGGCATCGAAACGATGCTACAGTTGAACAATTACTTTTATCAATCTGATTTTGAATTGAAAACATCTTGTTTGTGAACCGAAATGGAATTAGTCGAGCTAACGTTACAGTCTAAATAGAGGCAATCTACCCGCGGATCATCTGATAGCAGTAGTGTGTGCTTTTACAAGTCCCAAATGAATCTTAGGAGCCTGTTATCCTCTTTGAGACCCCAGCCTTTGACGGTTGCTTAGGCATTTGAATGTACCACGGGAATAACCGAAAGACCGATTCATACATACCATCTATACAGCACAAATTTCGACTGGAAAAAAGTAAAATTAATTAAGTTAATTAAGTTTTTTCTCATCAGAAATGCGAATATAAGGCAGACCAGACAATAATACTACACATTTACCATTCGTGAATAATAACTTATTTGGTTAATTAGGTTAATATAATGTATAAATATTACATTATATATTATAAAGTATTATTTTATAAAAA